AGTTGAGTTGGAGCCTTCATTACGGCTCCTTAAGTTCTTTTCTCTACCTGTTTCCCTCCCTCACCCATTTGAGCCCCATCACCTTCTTCTCTACCTAGTAGTCCCCATTTGTCCACCCATACACTACTGCTATGCTATACTCTAACACATGTGCACAAGTAGTTGTCATACTGTAGCTACTACCGCTTGGAGAAGCCCCATTAATTGAATTATGAGCCAAGCACAATAGCTGATGAAATCTTTACACAGCCCTGAGGTGGACAATATCATCTTCACCCTACAGATGAACTGAGCTTCAGAGACAAGGTCCAGTTGCCAGCCCTCAAACGAGGTACTGTCTACTCTGCACTACTGTCTCTGGCTAGGAGAGAGTTTTAGGGTCAACAAACTGCTCTATTTTCTTCTTTTCCATTTGATACTTTCTCTTCTTGTTTATATTTTTAAATAAAAGTAATGCATACATATGATGAAAAAATGTCAAATAACACAAAGTCAAAAACTCCCTCATCACCCCTGTTAACATCAATTGCCAATAATTCTTCATTTTAAGTTCTAACAACTTAAAAATGCAGCACACACACACACACACACACACACACACATTTCTAATTTACACAAAGCGATCTTATTCTATACTGTTTTATAAATTGCTTTCTTTCTCTCTTAATATCTGATTTTTTTTCTTATCAGAACATATAAAAAATTCAAATACTTTCCTGTCACACTGAAAATAAAATCCCAAGTTCTTACTTTGGCTATTACAATCTGATGCTAAAACTCAAAAAAGATATTACCATAAAGGAAAAGTATGAGTCTATGTCACTTACGAACATAGATATAAAAATCTTAAGCAAAATAGTAGTAAACAAAATCTAGCAATATGTAAAAGGGCTAATATATCAAAACCAAGGTGAGTTCACTCCAGGAATTGCAATGTAAATTTAACATTCAGAAATCTGTCTGTGTCAGACATTAATAAAGAGAAAAAACATGATCATCTTGTAGAGAAAACCATTTGATAAAATGAAACACATTCATGATAAAAATAGAAATAGAAGGCCAGGCGCAGTGGCTCAAGCCTGTAATCCCAGCACTTTGGGACGCCGAGGTGGGTGGATCATGAGGTCGAGAGATCAAGACCAACCTGGTCAACATGGTGAAACCCTGTCTCTACTAAAAATACAAAAAAATTAGCTGGGCATGGTGGCACGTGCCTGTAACCCCAGCTACTCAGGAGGCTGAGGCAGGAGAATTGCCTGAACCCAGGAGGCAGAGGTGGCGGTGAGCCAAGATCGTGCCATTGCACCCCAGCCTGGGTAACAAGAGTGAAACTCCGTCTCAAAAAAAAAAAAAAAAAGAAATAGAAAAGAAGTACCCTAACCTGATAAAGGGAATCTACAAAATCTATGGTGATATAGGTCAGGATAGTTGTTCTTTCTCGATAAAGGGCAAGAGGGGGACTTCTGGTAGTAATGTCTATTTCTTGATTTGGTTGCTTGGGTGTGGTTGCTTGTGATAAACTGTACACGTATGAGTTGTGTACTTTACTGTATGTGCATCATACTTAATTTTAAAAGGCTGTAAAAAAAAAATATGGGGCAGCTGCCATGGCTGCTTCTGCAAAGTCTAAGTACTGGTCTATATGCTGCAACCATGCCCTACTGCCAACAGGAAGGGAAGGATGGAATCATACTTGTGACTAAAGATGACCAAAAAACTCCAACCAATGTAGAGCTGGTGGCTAATGACCTCAATGATCCATACTCAGCACGGACTGATGCTGCCAAATGAAGACAGTAACTGGAACTGCCTGTGCCTTGGGGGAATGGCCAGCGGCCCCTGTGGGGAACAGTTCAAGTTGGCCTTTTTCTGCTTCCACTATAGTGCAGAGGATCTCAAGGGGAAAGACTGTGTAGACCAGTTCTAGGTCAAGGAGGAATGCATGTAGAAGAAATACCTGGACCTCTATATCCAAAAGTGTGCCCTTGATCAAGTCAGGGTCAGCCACCCCGAATGAATATCAGCACAAGAGGATGAGGAGGAAGAAGAGGAGAAGTCCCTGGAATCAATCCTTCACGGATACCGAGGGACAACTGTACATGTGAATATTGACCTGATCCATGGCTGTGTCTTACAGTGGAGAGGAAGCTGGTGAACTATAGGCCAAAGTTTTCGGTGAGTGAAAGGGAGTAAATTGTAGATGAGTTGCAAGTAGAGATATATGTTACCAAATGGAGAGAGACATCAGGAGCATGGAAATCAAGCACCTAGGATTTCCTCACACTGTAGGTAAGGAAAAACTTCCTTCTCTCCCCCCGACCTTTTTTTTTGAGACAGAGTCTCTCACTTGCTCTGTCCCCCAGTCTGCAACCTCCACCTCCCAGGTTCAAGCAATTCTCCCTCCTCAGCCTCCCAAATAGCTGGGATTACAGGCACCCCACCATACCTGGCTAATTTTTTTGTATTTTTAGTAGAGATGGGATTTCACTATGTTGGCCAGGGTGGTCTCGAACTCCTAACCTCAGGTGATCGCCTGCCTCAGCCTCTCAAAGTGCTGGGATTACAGGCATGAGCCACTCCACCTGGCCTCTTCTCTCCTCTTTGGTTCTGTGGCTGGGCATAAGACAGATTTACTGGGAAATGCATAAAAGTTTTATTTAATATTTGTATATGCACAGGAGCCTTTGTAAGAAAAGTAAATATCAATAGAAGTTATTAGGCCCAAAAGCTTATATGCCTTTTTAAACAAAGAATAATGGCCAGACATGGTGGCTCACACCTGTAATCTCAGCACTTTGGGAGGCTGAGGCAGGTGGAGCACAAGGTCAGGAGTTCAAGACCAGTTTGACCAACATGGTGAAACCCCGTTTCCACTAAAAATACAAAAATTAACTGGGTGTGGTGATGCACACCTGTAATCCCAGCTACTTGAGGCTGAGGCAGGAGAATTGCTCAAACCTGGGAGGCAGAGGTCGCAGTGAGTTGAGATCATGCCTCTGCACTCCAGCCTGGCCGACAGAGCGAGAGTCTGAAAATAATAATAATAATAATAATAATAATAAATTGCATGCAGGGATGTGACAAGACAGAGGGGCTTGGGCTAAGGCCGGTAAATTGTGGGAAAGTGACTAAGAACTGTATGTGGGAAACTAATGGAAAATAGAGGTCACAAATTTTTGTAAGGTTTTGCTTGTAGATTTATCTCAGTGGCAACTCTGCCTCTAGCAATAAGAATATTCTTCTCTTCCTGGTATAGAAAGGGCACCTTGCACAAGGGAACTTTTATGTTCTGCTTCAAACAGAAAGAGGGTGGTCAGAGAGCCTTCCCTGCATCTGTTGTTTGCTCCATTGCCGTTAGCTCAGAGGAATCAATATGCCAGAGTGGCTTATTTTGGGATGGCAGGCCCTAAAGACCTTCAGCATTGTTCTAAAATGAGACAACACTCTTTACCTAGTCTCCTGAACCACTTTTACAGTTCGCCTTAATCCAAACAGTCCTGGAAACTTATTTTTGTTTTTGTTTTTTTTTAAAAGACAGGGTTTCACTACACTGGTCAGGCTGGTCTCAAACTCCTGACCTCTGGTGATCCACCTGCCTCAGCCTGCCAAAGTGCTGGGATTACAAGCGTGAGCCACCGCACCCGGCGGAAATTTACTTTTGTTAGGAAAACGGAAACTTACACGGAAGATAACTGAGCCATAACCCACACCCCAGGGGCCTGCTCCAAAGCCCTCCTCGAAAGTGGTGCCAAGGGCAGCAGTTATGATGACATCCAGTCCACACAGAAGTGCCTCTGTTGATCACCAATTAACAGTAAAATCGGGTAATATCTCATTCCAAGGTTGTCAGAGGCACTAAATGTGGTTTTGTGACATAATAGGCATTTAATGTTTCTCCCCACTGCTTCCTCCCCACCCCAGTATATTCATCAAGATCTCGCCAAGGGTATTAAGTCTAGGAAACCCAGGATCATGAAGAGAGGCTGAGAAGGAGACTGATTTCTCTGGCAAGACCTGCACTGACTAGTGACATTAAAAGAGGTGGTCTGGCTTCTCATACTGTGCTTCTCCCAGGCCAGCTATTTGTCAACGGCTGGGCCCTCAGACCCAAAACTGTTTTCCAACAATGCTAAACCAGTTACTCAATTTTCTTCACATTCTCCAATTGGAATGCTCTTCAGAGTCCACAGGACATGCAACGATATTACCTAATGGCTGAAGAATGTGTGGCTGACGTCTTAGGCTGTAAAATGTCTCAATTTCAATTTCTAATACATAAATATCAGTGGATGACATGTTCTGAACCCCTTGTTGATGTCTGTAAATGGCATGCTCTGAATTCACCTAAACAAAAGAATGGTGGGTGGGGGGCGACATAGGAAGATGTATAACTTTTAAGAGTGTAAAGGGGTCCTGAGTAGGATTGTCAGACATTTATTTATTTATTTATTTTGGAATCTCACTCTGTCAGCCAGGCTGGAGTGTGGTGGCGCGATTTTGGCTCACTGCAACCTCTGCCTCAGCTCCAGTGTAGCTGGGATTACAGGAGCCCGCCACTGCGCCTGGCTAATTTTTGTATTTTTAGTAGAAACGGGATTTCACCATGTTGGGCAGGTTGATCTTGAACTCCTGAGTTCAAGTAATCGGCCCTCCGCCTCCCAAAGTACTGGGATTGCCGCAGGAGCCACCACGCCAGGCCTGTATTGCCAGATTTAGCACATAAAATACAGGACTCCCAGTTAAACGTGTCTGAGATAAACTATTATTACATAGGATACTCTTGTGCTAAAAAAAAAAAAAAAAAAAAAAATCCGTCGTTTACCTAAAAGCCGCATTTAATTCGGTGTTCCGTATTTTACCCGGCAAATTCTAGGCCTGAGACCAAAAAGTTTGAGAACCGCGCCCCTAAGCGACAGCAAGTGGAACTGCAGCAAGCTCCCAGCAATTCCGGGTGCTGCACTTCCGGTCAGGCGGTCGGGCTGTGGGGCCCTAGGGCCAGCCCATCGCCGGAAGTCTCCGTGGGCCGCTGCCTGGCGTTCCTCGCCGGCCGGGTCCGTTCTGCTTCCCGGTGCCTCGGGCCTCCCGGGTCTGGTGCTGGGCGCCGAGCCGGCAGAGCTGGCGGAACCCGCTTTCCGCCTCCAGAGGGCAGCGGCCGCGGCCTAATCCCTTCACGGGCAGCTCGGTGCCGTCGGCCTCACAGCTCTTCCTGTCGCCGGGAGTGGCTGGCCGACCAGTGGGCGGCCGGGCCAGCCTCCGCCATTCCCGTGTCTCTGCGCCCGCGGGGGCCGCCCGAGCCGGCCACCATGCCGCTGGGCCTGAAGCCCACCTGCAGCGTCTGCAAGACCACGTCGTCCTCCATGTGGAAGAAGGGCGCGCAGGGGGAGATCCTCTGTCATCACTGCACGGGCCGGGGCGGCGCGGGCGGCGGGGCTGCCGGCTCGGGGGCGGCCGCAGGGACTGGGGGCAGCAGCGGCGGCGGCGGCTTCGGCGCGGCGACCTTTGCCAGCACCTCCGCCGCCCCTCCGCAGAGCAACGGGGGCGGGGGCGGCAAGCAGGTGAGCTCCTCCGGCCTCTCCCGCCGGCGAAGGCCGGGCAGGCGCTAGGCCGGCCCGGGGAGCGGGCGGGCACGGGCTTCCCGGATCGCGATGCTCCTGCCGGACTGGGACGCCCCCTCCCCACCTCCTACTGGGATCTTTGGTTTGGCCCATTCCGAAGCACCTGTTATTGTAAGAAATTCAAAGCATAAGGAAGCAAGAAAATGTAAAGCCCTTCTGAAAATCTCAGTATACACACGTCTACACAGTCGTAAACAGGGTCATGCCACAGATGCAGGACCTCATTCCTTGTTAATAAAGGTTTTGTCGTAATCAGGTTATGAAATAAGGATTATTGTCGTTATTGTAAATGGCAGCTTAAGTATTCCATTGTAGGAGATGCTATAGCGTAATACTTTCTCTGGCCTTACGGAGTAAAGTTAAGTGTTTTTCTCCTGTAGACACAACAAATGAATAGGTATTTTCTTGGCCTAGACTGACTCCTACTCCTGCCTCCTGCCCTATTATAAGCAGCTCACACCTTTGGGAGGCTGTGTAGAGGCTTGTCCTGCGAGCTCGGAGATTTGGGGTGCTGGACTTGTGGTTTTAGCCCAGTTACTGTAATTACCCCGTTTGAAAAGCAAAGGCGCACTCTTAATTGCTAAATGTTCTTATAAAGTGCATACTCCAGGATCCTTGTAAGATGGTTGTACTGGGACTGCAACCTTTCTACCCTTTTTACTTCTTTCTCTTTTTGTTCTTTAATTTGTGTAACAGAGTAAGCAGGAAATTCACAGGAGGTCTGCTCGGCTCAGAAACACTAAATACAAATCTGCTCCGGCTGCTGAAAAGAAAGTTTCCACCAAAGGAAAAGGGAGAAGACATATATTTAAATTGAAAAATGTAAGATGTCTGTTGACAGTGCCTTTTACTGTAATGATGTTGTGTATATCCTGCCACTGCCTTCATTTCTCCCCACTGAACTTGGACTCTGCCCTTGGAAGCCCTTCCTCAGTATTCTGGGGGTGGTCCAGACTCCCCAAAAGGGAATGAGCTCTGTTGCAGGAGGCTCACTGTTTATAAAGTTAATAATACTCTTTTACTTTTTCCCCTGGAAAATATAAAATACGGGTTTATGGGCCGGGCGCGGTGGCTCAAGCCTGTAATCCCAGCACTTTGGGAGGCCGAGGCGGGTGGATCACGAGGTCGAGAGATCGATACCATCCTGGTCAACATGGTGAAACCCCGTCTCTACTAAAAATACAAAAAATTAGCTGGGCGTGGTGGCGCGTGCCTGTAATCCCAGCTACTCAGGAGGCTGAGGCAGGAGAACTGCTTGAACGCAGGAGGCGGAGGTTGCAGTGAGCCAAGATCGCACCATTGCACTCCAGCCTGGGTAACAAGAGCGAAACTCCGTCTCAAAAAAAAATAAAATAAAATACGGGTTTAAAAGAAATATTGCCCGGCTCGGTGGCTCACGCCTGTAATCCCAGCACTTTGGGAGGCCGAGGCGGGCAGATCACGAGGTCAGGAAATCGAGACCGTCCTGGCTAACACGGTGAAACTGTTTCTACTACAAATGCAAAAAATTGGCTGGGCGTGGTGGTGCGTGCTTGTAGTCCCAGCTACTCTGGAAGCTGAGGCAGGAGAATCGCTTGAATCACGGAGATGGAGCTTGCAGTGAGCCGAGATAGCACCACTGCCCTCCAGCCTGGACGACAGACCAAGACTCCATCTCAAAAAAATAATAATGATAAAAAGAAATACCAGCCTTGAGCCCATTTTTTTGGGTTCTCTATGCAAAGGAAGAGGAGAGATTGTGGTTCTTAATATGGCAAGGTACACTAAGAAAACTTTTTTTTTCATTCTTTAAACATTTAAGTAAATATTAATACTGGAACTCATCATTTGCATATTTATTTGTTATAAAAGCCCCAGAAAATGTATCTTAACTTCAAATGATGATGGATTCGATGACTTTATGAGTCAAAAATTTTGTTTAGCCTTATCTCCTCTTCTGCTCTAAGAAAAGAGATTGCTGAAAGACCTGTGCTGGAAATAGTTAAAAGCATATTTTTATTGAAATTAAATTCTCACTTTTTATAAACAAGGGATAATGGTCAAACACAGTGGACAGTGCATTATGGACTATTTTTTAAAGTCTCAGTATGATACTCTTTTCTTTCAGAACAGGAGTGTTTCACTTAACCGGTAAAGACATTTCTGAAGTTGGGCATATTTCTAAAACACAAAGGGACCCTGCAGTAGACTTATGCAGATGACAGAGTATTAATTTAATACTTTTTAAATTTAATTTATTTTTTAAATTTTACTTTAAGTTCTGGGATACATGTGCAGAAAGTGTTTGTTACATAGTTTACATGTGCCCTGGTGGTTTGCTGCACCTATCAACCAATCATCTAGCTTTAAGCCTTTAATGCATTAGATATTTGTCCTAATGCTCTCCCTCCCCTTACCTCCCACCCCCGACACAGCCCAGTATGTGATATTCCCCTTTCCGAAGCATTTTCTTATTCAGAGTAGTTGCTTCAAATTTATTTAAGATTTTTATAATTTAGTTAAGTGAGGCATTTGTTGATTACACAAAACATGTTGTTTATATTTGTATCACATATACCCATTTTTTTCCTTTTAAGTATGGTATACCATGTTCTCAGTAATTATTATTATTCTCTGCAACCCCTTTCTTCGATGGTACCAAGCAAGACAGATCTGGGGAGGTCTAGTTTCCATGTTGTGGCATAAAAATATGTATTGCACCTTTGGTAGGGATTTCAAAAGTGGTTGGATGGTGGCAAATTACTAAGAATTCTCAAAGTTTCTAATGCCTTAGTTCCAGCTTGCTAGAAAATTGATGTTGAGTATTATGGCTAGTTCCATAGTTGAGTTGAAAAATGTCTTCAGGGAGACACTTTTTCACTTTGTATTCACCTGTACATTCTTTATTACTTGCATTTTGTCATGCTCAGGCTGTTAGAACAGGTATATTTTTATAACTGGAATGTTTATATGTAGTGGAGCACCGAGAGGACTTTGCATTAGATCTCAGCAGCATAATCAGAAGCTTGTCCTTTGTCTCAGAAATTGGAGTGGAAATACTGAGACTGCTTTGCTACAACATTCAGAAAATCATTTATCTTTTTATTGCAGTTCTTGTCACCAAACAATACATTTTAGTATTTCTCAAATTACAGAACTCTCCTAGAGCTGGGAAAATGCCTGTACATACATACATACTATGAATGTGCTAATTTTTTTTTTGTATTTTCATAGCCTATCAAAGCTCCTGAGTCAGTTTCCACCATAATCACCGCAGAATCAATCTTCTACAAGGTAATGTTAAACATCAGATTAGTCTAAAGGTCTCTGCTACTCTTTATTTGTATAAGTTGTGATTATACTTTTTGTTCTTTTCTTAGCTGTTTTCCCCCATAAGTGGCTATTTTTTATTTTTTGAGATGGAGTTTCGTTCTTGTTGCTTATGCTAGAGTGCAATGGTATGGTCTTGGCTCACCGCAGCCTCTGCCTTTCAGTTTCAAGCTGTTCTTCTGTCTCAGCCACTGAAGTAGCTGGGATTACAGGCATGCGCTACCACGTCTGGCTAATATTTTATAATTTTTATAGAGACGGGGTTTCTCCATGTTGATCAGACTGGTCTGGAACTTCTGACCTCAGGTGATCTGCCCACCTCGGCCTCCCAAATTGTTGGGATTACAGGCGTGAGCCACCACGCCCGGCAAGTGGCTGTTATTAAAACATCTCATCTAGAACTGAAGGGGGAGGAGAAGATGCCTACTGAAATACGATGTGAGGATCTTTTTTTTTTTTTTTTTTTTTTTTTTTGAGGCGGAGTTTCACTCTTGTTACCCAGGCTGGAGTGCAATGGCGCGATCTCGGCTCACCGCAACCTCCGCCTCCTGGGTTCAGGCAATTCTCCTGCCTCAGCCTCCTGAGTGGCTGGGATTACAGGCACACGCCACCATGCCCAGCTAATTTTTTGTATCTTTGGTAGAGACGGGGTTTCACCATGTTGACCAGGATGGTCTCGATCTCTCGACCTCGTGATCCACCCGCCTCAGCCTCCCAAAGTGCTGGGATTACAGGCTTGAGCCACCGCGCCCGGCTGAGGATCTTAAGTATTTTTTTAGTGTAGATTATAGGAATGGTTCTTAAAATGCTGATTGTATAGTGTGAAGCCATGGAAGAGTGAGCCATTAGTGTGATGGCATTGAAGAATATGAAGGACAGAGACAGGATTGGGACCAGTAGTGAAGCAGGAGCAGTGAGAAGCAAACCTCGAACACCGAACTGAGGAAGGAAGTGGCTTTTTATTCGGCCAGGAGCTGCTGTGGGGGCTACAGCTTTATTCACCAAGCTCCCCGAGAAGCAGCTTCTTTCCCCTTTTATAGGCTTACAATGCTAAAGGGGAAACTGAGGTGAAACTATGTCCATTGGCTTGACATCAGACCTTACAATCTTTTGGCTTCATTGATTTGCTAGTTTATACACAGTGTGAGTGGGAACAGGCAGGGTTGGGGGCTTACAGAGTCAAGACAAAGGCAGTAAATTATTAGTTGGCAGAAGTATTTCCAGGAGGGAGCCTGGGCTGTGCAGATATAGGGGTGTGACCCAGTGCCAGGCTCCAGCTCCAGCCAGTAGGGATAACATTCATTTGCAACTCTTTCAAGGTTTGTAGATAGCAGAGATACTGGGAACTGAAAAAGGAGTCCTCTTCCCAGCTCTTTGGTATTTTATTTCTTTTTTTTTTTCACCCTCCTTCCCATCTGGAGGGGAGGAGGAGGTGGAGGCCAGGAAGCGAGAAGGGGATAGGGGGTCTCCCCTCTTAGTAGAGGTTGTAGACTGTGTTGTCAAATGGGTAGAGTAGGCTCAGAGATTCTAAAATGCCTTATGTGGAGTTGAGCTGAGTAAGAGTAGTAGTGGGAATTAACACCTACTAGAAATCCATGGTGAGAGGAATTCCAAGATGTTTTGATAAAGAACGAGGAGGTCAAGTTTCCTAGGGTCAAAGTCCATGGAAATCTGATACCTCATTGAGAGAAGTGACAGATTGTTGTGTTTAAACCGGAAGTTTTAGGAAAGGAATTAGAACATAGACCTTTAAGGCTCCGCAGGCCTGGCATGGCATAGGAAGCAACCATTGAAGGGTATTTGGTATTTTGGGATCTGAACTGTCATTTAGGGGACAGTGGTGTGAATACTTTATACTTGACCCAGGTGGACGGAGAAACTCAAGTGATTATGCCCTTAAGTGTACTTTGTTGTTTTTTTTTTTTTTTTTTTTTTTTTTTGAGATGGAGTTTTCCTCTTGTTGCCTCAGCTGAAGTGCAGTGGCACAATCTCAGCTCACCGAAACCTCCCAGGTTCAAGTGATGCTCCTGCCTCAGCCCCCCAGGTAGCTGGGATTACAGGCATGTGCCACCACACCTGGCTAATTTTGTATTTTTAGTAGAGACGGGGTTTCTGCACGTTGGTTAGGCTGATCTCAAACTCCAGACCTCAAGTGATCCGCTCCCCTCAGCCTCCCAAAGTGCTGGGATTTATAGGCATGAGCCACCGCACCTGGCCTAAGTGTACTTTTTTTTTAAGCCCACAGTCTGTATAGTCAAAGTCTGTTCCTCCCCGCAGGAGTACAGTGGCATTCCTCAGCAGGTCTGGGAAAAAACAACAAAAAAAGTCTATACTCTTACTTTTCCCAACATCTCTCTTATTTTTCCAATGTGTCATACATTGTTAATAATAAATAGCTACAGTTTAGCAAACAGTTACTTTGTATCAGTGCCTAAGCATTTTATGTGCTTTATTTCATTCACTTCACTCTATAAGGGGGGTACTGTTATCCCTGTTTTCTGGATGAGAACATTGAGGCACAGCGAGGTTAATTAACTTGTCCAAAATCACATAGCCAACAAGTCATGGAGTGAGGCAGTCTCATGCCAGAGCTTAAGCCTAGAGCATAGTTCCTGGCTATATAGCTTTAGCAAGTGACTGGCTCTGTGATGAGGACCAACCTCTCTAGTGTTTATCTGTAAAATAGGAATTGTAAATAGTTACTACCTCAGTGGACAAAGTGAAATTATATGTGTTAAGCACTTAGCAGAATAAGCACTCAATGAATAGTAGGAGTTATCACATCTTCATATTTGTACATTACCTTCACAGTTGACAGATTAAAGCCAGAAGCAAGTTGTTGAGCTACAGATTTAGTGTACTAATGATTTCCATGTTTGTCTCCATGGAAAGGCATGTGCGATCTGTTACTGTGACTGTCTGTACTTTTGTATTGTTGTCTACCACCCATGTTTATTAAATGATAAGGACAGTAATGCAACAAAGTAGTAAAAGTAATGTTGCAAATGCCCAGTATTGTGGGGGGCTATCACAGCAGTGCCACTGGCAGGCAGCACCTTGGTGGTAAGTTCAAGAGGTCACTGCCAGCCACTAAGCTAGAGCCCAGATCAGGCATGCAAGAGGAAGCTGAGTGGGAGCCACTAGGGATCATGGCCAAGAGTGTGACCACCCAAGACCCAGAATGGCTGAGTGGCATCCCTGGAGCACGGCAGTGGCAGAACAACTCTGTGAACTCAGGTCTGGTGATGTCTAAACTAGTGCTGTTCACCATCTTGTGTGGACCCCTTTTGTTCATCAGAAACCATGAATCATCTCAGCAAATGAGGTGACTACTCAGATCAGTGACTTAGTCCTGTTTGGTGTTAGATATATGTGCACAACAGAGCACATATTAATAAATACCTACTGTATGCCAGGCACTGCTTGCCACTGGAATCTTTCACTCAGACGTTGTCTTTACTTTGCAGTTCTGCTTTCACACTGTGAACGCAGAGTCTGGGAGATGTTTTGGATTCATGTTCATTCAGCATACATTTGAGTGCCTATGATAAGCAAGTATTCTCATTTAGAATTTGAGAATACTAGTTATACATGTTGACAAAGCAAACCATAAATGCAAAGTATTTATATGATAAATAACTTTGGACTAGTGGCTGGGAGGAAGGACCAGCTGTAGATGGGTAGGAACTAGCAAGTAGCAGACTGGCCTGCATAGACCAGACCCATCCATAGTGACGCAGGTGCAACAGCCACCCTCAGACACATGGATAAAAGGTCCACCAGGAAAAAACTCCTGGCCTATCAGGTGCTATGTTGCAGTTCAGTTACTGGAAGTATTTCCTCAGAAGTGTTTTTAGGGTTAAGGTGCACATTCTTGAAGCTTTACCTTCTGCCAAGTCACTGTTTAAGGGAAGCAGCAATGAATTACACTGTTCCCATAGTCAAGGACGTTGTGTCCCACCAAGAACTACACCTACTTAAGGAGGTGCTGAATGTCAAAGATTTGGATCAACCATTATGGGTGTTCAGAGGAGAGATTATTTCCAGTTCAAGACCCAGGGAAGAGGACATAGGATGGATAGCAGAGTCATAGGGAGGATTTAACACAAGACATGTACGCATTAGTTGAGTATAAATAAAACAGAAATGAATGAGACACAAAGCCTTGAATGCCAGAAATACCAGTAGTGTTGTGGAAGGATATAAAACTCAACTGGGAGTAGAAGAGAAAGGCAGCAGTGAGTCTAGGAGATGTACAGTAGGTTGAGGTAAACATATCCTGAAGACTACTTATAATCCAAAGATTATTTTTGGTTTGAATTTGTTTTGGTTTGAATTCATGGTATCTGTTTTCTTTGAATGGATGGTTGGGGAGGGTAGTTCGTAGAATACATTCTTACCAAATCAGCATTGATTTTCAAGACAGTACAGAGAAAGACTACTGAGCTGATGTAGGAGCTTCTGCTACAGTCTCTATGGCTTTGAGCAAGCCATTTAACCTTACTACTGCTTCATGACTGTGGCCAACAAAGAAGGGATAGTACAGAGCACAGAGAATTTTTAGGCCAGTGAAACTATTAATACTCTCTGTGATACTATGATGGTAGGTACATGTCATTATACATTTGCCCAACCCCACACTATACACAGCACCAAGAGTGAACCCTAATGTGAACTCCGGTCTTTGATGATGCTGTGTCAGTGTAGGTTCCTCTATGTAACAAGTGTACCACTCTAGTGGTGGGAGGGATTATTGATAATGGGAAAGGATATGCATGTGTGGGGGCAGGCAGTATATGGGAAATCTTTCTACTTCTGCTAGTTTTGCTGTAAACTTAAAAACTCTCTAAAAAATAAAGTCTATTTTTAAAAAAGTAGGGATAGTACTATGGCAATGTAAAATAAAAGTAGGGCTGGGTGTGGTGGCTCACTCCTGTAATCCCAGCACTTTGGGAGCCTGAAGTGGGCGGATCACGAGGTTAAGAGATCGAGGCCATCCTGGCCAATATGGTGAAACCTCATCTCTACTAAAAATACAAAACTTAGCTGCGCATGGTGGTGCCTGTCTGTAGTCCCAGCTACTTGGGAGGCTGAGGCAGGAAAATCGCTTGAACCCAGGAGGCAGAGGTTGCAGTGAGCTGAGATTATGCCACTGCACTCCAGCCTGGCAACAGAGCCAGACGCCATCTCAAAAAAAAAAAAAAAATCAAAGTACTTTATGAACAAATGTTTTCTCTAAACTGTCGAACATGCACCCTCGTATGTGTATGTATAATTTTCATTCAAAAGTGAAACAACTTTAGCATTGGCCAAACAAATAAACAAACATGTATACATTGATCCATTGGACTACCTCGAACACCTTTCATTGACCACTTTGAAAACTTGCTTACCTATTAAGGTTCATTCATAACTGTGGTGTTCTATTTTTTTTTTTCAATGTGGGATTATCTCTCTTTCCCCCAGGGAGTATATTATCAAATTGGTGATGTTGTTTCTGTGATCGATGAACAAGATGGAAAGCCCTACTACGCTCAGATCAGAGGCTTTATCCAGGACCAGTACTGCGAGAAGAGTGCAGCACTGACGTGGCTCATTCCCACCCTCTCCAGCCCCAGAGACCAATTTGATCCTGCCTCCTATATCATAGGTGAGTTTGACAAATGGTACAGTTCTTTAACTTAGTTAACTCTCCAATATTATGTGAAGGAGTATGTTAGTCAGCTTGGGCTGTTATGACAAAATACCACAGACTGAGTGGCTTAAACAACAGAAAGTCACTTTCTCACAGTTCTGGAGGCTGAAGTCCAACATCAAGGTATTGGCAAAAAGGGTTTCTGGGGAGGCTTTTCTTCCTGGCTTGTAGATGGCCACCTTCTTGCTGTGTCCTCATGTGGCCTTTCCTCTGTGTGTACACATGGAGGGAGAGCTCTTTGATGTTTCTTCTTATAAGGACACCAGTTCTGTCAGATGAGGGCCCTGCGCTTGTGGTTTCATTTAACCTTAATTGCCTCCCTAAAGGTCTCATCTCCAAATACCATCACATTGGGGATTAGGGCTTCAACATATGAATTTAGAGGTTGGTGGGCGAATGCAATTCAGTCCATGACAAAAAAAGCGTAAGTATTATTATGTACAAAAAAATTAGAGGGCTTTATAGAAAATATGAGTTTGAGTGCTGTCAGTTATTTTGAGTTAGAGCAATATGCATCTACTAAGAAGTGATATGGATAAGATTTTTTTAGACTTACCTAGGGTTAAACTGTACTACAAGAATTTATTGCTCAGAACTAAGTTATTTAGGTTACTTACTTATACAAATCTACTAAAAAATAATTTAGAAAAGAACTATCCCAGTTATTCCATACTTGGAAATTCTGACACCTGTAATCCCAGCACTTTGGGAGGCCGAGGTGGATGGATCACGAGGTCAGGAGATCAAAACCATCCTGGCCAGCATGGTGAAACCCCATCTCTATTTAAAAAAAAAAAAAAAAAAAAAAAAGAAAATTCTGAGTATGTATGCCTCTGCATGGTACACGTGTTATCTTAGGCCTATATAGCATAAAGGCTGATAATTGAAATGGCAGCTGCTGTGCTTTTGTTAATTTCAAAAGATACGATACAATTTTGACATAGACTCACAAGAATTTACTGATTAATACAACTTTGAAAGTTTTCAGATTTTTAAAGTTACTTCAGACTTTTTTTTTTTTTTTTTTTTTTTTTTTTTTTTTTTTTTTTTTTGAGGAGGAGTTTCGCTCATTACCCAGGCTGGAGTGCAATGGTGCGATCTCGGCTCACCGCAACCTCCGCCTCCTGCATTCAGGCAATTCTCCTGCCTCAGCCTCCTGAGTAGCTGGGATTACAGGCACGTGCCACCATGCCCAGCTAATTTTTTTGTATTTTTAGTAGAGACGGGGTTTCACCATGTTGACCAGGATGGTCTCGATCTCTTGACCTCGTGATCCACCCGCCTCGGCCTCCCAAAGTGCTGGGATTACAGGCTTGAGCTACCGCGCCCGGCCACTTCAGACTTTTTAATCTTTCTGCAATGAACTTGTATTACTTTTGCATCCTGAAAATAAGCATAAATGTTTTTTTAGAGAGAACTCCAGGGACAAATAGTATACCACTGTTATTCTCACCTACATGTCAAGTTTGATACATTACCAAACAGTTCTGGCCTTCTGCTTGTAAGTACGTAGAACAATGGACTTTCATTTACCTTATCTATGGGATAGGATCCCAGCACAGGCAGTGATGTGTCAGTCACCTTCAGGGAGCCTCTCCTGCCTCCTCTGTCTAATCCCCAGATTCTGATGTGCATCCCTGTCCTACAAGAGGCAGCATGGCATGGGGTCAGAACACCAGTTCTGGAGCCAGACTGTCTGGGTTCATGGCCTGCCATTTACTAGCTATGTGACTTTGGCAGATTTCTTAGTCCCTCTTGACTCACTTTCTTCATATGTAAAATGGGAATAGCGCCTACCTCAGAGAGTTGCTGTGCGGAATGAAGGTATTGATACGTGTAAACCTAGAACAGCGTGGGTACAAAATAAACACAATGTAAGTGTTCATATTGTTATTTTTAAAATCCTTCCTCTATCAAGTCACTGTTTTTGGGAGAATGCCTTATTCTTTAAGCAGTTGAGGAAAAAATGATTAAGAATAACTTCAGAGTAATGCGTGTCTCAAGGGTTAATGCCAGACTGCTCCCAGAGTGGTAGGAATTTTAACATTTTATGAAAATGATCTATATGCTTAAAAATGTATTTAACTTTTCCCTTGGCTTCTTTCTAGGACCAGAGGAAGATCTTCCAAGGAAGATGGAATACTTGGAATTTGTTTGTCATGCACCTTCTGAGTATTTCAAGTCACGGTCATCACCATTTCCCACAGTTCCCACCAGACCAGAGAAGGGCTACATATGGACTCATGTTGGGCCTACTCCTGCAATAACGATTAAGGAAACAGTTGCCAACCATTTGTAGTTCACAGATTAAAACTGGATTTCCAGGCTTGGTGTGGTGGCTCACACCTATAGTTCCAGCTGTCACACAAGTGCTCTCCAGGCTGGGCAACAGAGTGAGATTCCATCTCTTAGAAAAACCATAAAAAAACTGGATTTCCAATTCTCTTATATTCTTAGTACCATGCGATATGTCACAGGTATCTTTAAATGAAATTCTTAGCTAGAAAAATGACTAAAAAGTTTTTCTCTACTACCTAGTAATCATTAGATTGCTTATTACTAGTCACTTAGAAAATTAAAAGCAATAGAGCCAAGCACAGTGGCTAATGCCTGTAATCCCATCACTTTGGGAGGACAAGGTGGTTGGATCACCTGAGCTCAGGAGTTCAAGACAAGCCTGTCCAACATGGCAAAATCCCTTCTCTACTAAAAATACAAAAATTAGCCAGGTGTGAGGCTGAGGCAGAAGAATCACTTGAACCTAGGAGGCTGAAAGTGCTCCACTGCACTTCACCCTGGGCAACAGAGTGAAAAAACAACAGGCTGGGGAAAGTGGCTCACACCTGTAATCCCAGCACTTTGGGAGGCTGAGGCAGGTGGATCACAAGGTCAGGAGTTTGAGACCAGCCTGGCCAGTATGGTGAAACCCCGTCTCTACTAAAAATACAAAAATTAGCCAGGCATAGTGGCGGGCACCTGTAATTCCAGTTACTCGGGAGGCTGAGGCAGGAGAATTGCTTGAACCCAGGAGGCAGAGCTTGCAGTAAGCTGAGATTGCGTCACTGTACTGCAGCCTGGGCGACAGAGCAATACTGTCTCAAAAAACAAAAACAAAAACAAAAAATAAAATGGATAGAATAGAATGAAATATATTTTGAAGTTAAATTATATTCAATATGTGTATCTTCCCAGTCAAAAGCTGTAATTTCCAGAGAGACCATTAGGATCAGGTAGTGTCTATTTTTCTCCGTTATTTATTTCTAGTAACTCATAAAATAGATTGTATTTTTCTATAAGAACAAAATATTAAGGTATAGATGACTGACCAAGGGCTTAATCAAATAAAATGACTAACAGTATCTATCATAAAGCCACACAAGCCTTATGTTCTCATCTCAAAAATGCTGTGGCAGCTTTTTAGTGCTTTAACCATAAGAAAAATGATGGATTATTTTATTAGCCCAGACTTTTTAAAACTTTCATCTAGGCAGGGTGCAGTGGCTCACACCTGAATCCCAACACTTTGGGAGGCCTAGGTGGATGCATCACTTGAAGTCAGGAGCTCAGGACCAACCTGGCCAACATTGTGAAACCCTATCTCTACTAAAAATACAAAACTTATCTGGGTGTTGTGGCACGTACCTGTAATCCCAGTTACTTGGGAGGCTGAGGCTGGAGAGTTGCTTGAACTCGGGAGGTGGAGATTGCAGTAAGCCGAGATTGTGCAACTGCACTCCTGCCTGGGTGATAGAGCCAGACTCTGTGTCAAAAAACAAAAGCAAAAAAACAAAACTTTCATCTAATCCTTCTGTAGCAAACAGGCATTTAGAACCATTCCATTGATCTTCATAGTGCTGTTCTTTACTGTTTCTAGTCAAAATGAGGCTTCCGATCAAATCATAAGATTTTATACTGCAGATAGTCAGCTTCACCAACGCCACAGAGGAAACGTTCAGATCAGGCATTCCGCTTGATGGTTTCTTGGCTACCATTAAAACGAAGATTGGGCAGTCATGAAAGTCATTGATAGGCCATTACCATTGATAATTTTAAAATGTCTACCCTAAACCATCTGCTATGGACCCATAATAAGAGGCCTGTTGTATATGAAATTGTCTAGAATTCAGGTGCAGGTCTTCGCCAGTTAAGTAAGGGAGCACCGTGTAAAGTGGGGGAGGAGTGGGGTGCACTCATTTGCCTCCTCTTTCCTGATCTAACCAGCATTTTTCAACCCTGGGAAAATTTGCAGAATCTAAGTTGATTTTAACGATTTTGAGCTGCAGCACCTTTAACTCTTACCCTTTTTCTACAGTTATGGTTTGTCAGTTGGAAAGAAACAACTGTAGGTAGCTCCATGTACATAATTAGATATCTCTTTATTCACAAAGGGTATAGTAAAATTGTAAATAACTTTCTAAATGCTAATATTCAGAACTTTTGGATTAAAATGTATTTTTCAAAGTGTACTTATTTTTGATTTATTTATTTCATTTAAACAATTTAAATAGGGCTCTTTAACCAAAAATGGTATTTAAAGCCAAAACAGTATAGTGCTTAGAATTTGGAGTAGATAGATTCATCATCAATGAGTAATAAATTTTAGGAAAATCAAAAAATGACTAGTAAAATGAACACAATGGAAGATATTTATTAAAATGTAGACTTAAAAATCTATAAATTGACCATATGTTTATAAATTGGTAGATGTGTACTATCATTTTAAAATAAAGATTAAATTTTCATATTCCTCCTCATCCGGTGCGATGGTTCCCATTGCACATATCTCCTGCTGAGGCTGGACCTGATAGGGCCCTGGTCTGTGTTCCAGCCCTGTCTTCTCACTGCTACTAAATGTTTCCCCTGTACACCTGCCTTGTTTTTCTGGCTCTGAGCCCTCGTTCATACTTTTCTTTCCAATTCTGCCTTACACAGGCCTTTCTAAAGGCCTTCAGATTCTGTCTTTCTATGAGGCCTTTCCAGATTCCCGTGATTCTTTGAAATCAATCTCTATCTTACTGTCATCGCATTTAAGTTTCTACTTCCATCTTCTTCACTCCTATCCCTTTGTTCCTGGGCTGGCAGGGATGCTGTGTTTTATTTACTCATCTTTGTAACTTCCACGTAACCTAACCCAGGTTCTTGCTTGTGGGAGATGCTGAGTGTAGGGTCTGAATTAAATACTGTTAACTAAAGTGCTTGTTGATATTTTAGTTAATACTAGTTTATACTAACTTTGGCTGCAACTTTTAAATTCTATTGTGAATAGTCAAGTAAAATTTAGATTGTTATATTCTGGGTTAATATTAGATTGTTTTTAAGATTGTTTTAGACAAGATATTTTTAAGACGAGGTTTAAATAATTCTCTTATACAAATAAAGCTTAACATGAGTATTTGAAAGAAATTATCCCAAACCATTCCGATTCCTGGCTGTAAAAGACTTTTCCAGGCCTAATAGGTTTTCCATTTCAGTTGTTAAGTAGGTGAAATCAAATAGATAATAGAGGGAAATGTATTTATGTGCCTTACACACATGCATGTGTGTTCTGTCTACATAAATACATTGCACAAGCTTAGAATGAAGTTTCTGTCATACCCAGAAAAGGTAGAGGCATTTCTGTGGATTTTATCTGGCTTCCCTGGGCATGTGTTCAGAACTATGCTACTTACTTCATACCAGGTGTGTGAGCCATACCTTTGGTAGGAGGTTATACCTCCTACACCCAAGAAATACAAGCCAGGAGAAGGTATGTGCCAAGAAGGAACCCAAATGACTCACAAGAGGTGGGCAATTAATGATTGAGTTAGATGCACAAATGCACGGTCATTTATTTAACCACCTTTTTTTTTTTTTTTTTTTTTGAGACGGAGTTTCGCACTTGTTGCCCAGGCTGGAGTGCAATGGCACGATCTCGGCTCACCACAACCTCCGCCTCCTGGGTTCAGGCAATTCTCCTGCCTCAGCCTCCTGAGTAGCTGGGATTACAGGCACATGCCACCATGCCCAGCTAATTTTTAGTATTTTTAGTAGAGACGGGGTTTCACCATGTTGACCAGGATGGTCTCGATCTCTTGACCTTGTGATCCACCCGCTTCGGCCTCCCAAAGTGCTGGGATTACAGGCTTGAGCCACCACGCCCGGCTTAACCACCTCTTAATGGTGACCCACAAGAAAGATTGCTAGTAATAGTGGAAAAGTTCATACTAAACGAGAAAAAAGCAGAATGTAGAACTGTATGATAGCAATTCTTCAAAGAAGCTTTTTTTTTTTTTTGAAGTTGGGGTTTCACCATGATGGCCAGGCTGGTCTTGAACTCCTGACGTCAGGTGATCCACCCACCTTGGCCTCCCAAAGTGCTAGGATTACAGGCGTGAGCCGCCGCACCCGGCCCCAAAGCATCTTTTATAAAAGATGGAAGGAGCCCAGGCACAGCAGTTCATGCCCGTAATCCCAGAACTTTGGGAGGCTGAGGTGGAGGATCACTTGAGCTGCAGTGACCCATAATTGTACCATCACTCCAGCCCGAGTGACCGAAGTGAGACCTTGTCTCAAAAAACAAAACAGAAATACCTCCAGAATTTTAACGTGTCAACAGAGGTTTTCTGCGGTTACTTTTTCTGCTTTATAATTTGCAGTATTTTGCAAATTTTCTCTAATGAGCAGTATTTTCCAGATTTTTTACAATAAGCTCACGTGCATGCACACATGTTTGCATACTGCCCAACTGGTGGTTACCACTGGCTTTTACTTCACACATAGATGAGTATTTTTAAAGTAGTAGTTCTTAAACCCTTGCAAGGGAGATGAATGACCAGCTGAGGAAATAAATTCAGTGATTTCGTTATTTTTCTATATTCACATCATGATTTTAGGAAAGAACTCAGGAGTGACTTCCTTCAGCTTCAGCTACTCCTGGGCTGCGTGCACGCTAAGCTCTGTGGTAAAGGTCACCAACTTCTGCAGGGCACCTGTGTCATCTGAATTGGAGGTTTGTTGAGGGTGAGAGACTGATGCAGGTTAAAGCTGATCTTTCCTCTCCTCCGCTTGAAGTCTATCGTCCCTTCCAGACTGCCTGCGCTGCTGACTTAAGGCCCCAAACACCGAACACAGAAGCAACAGCCTTACACAGAGTGTTCAGCAAGCTCCCTCAATTGTGTAAGGTAAAGTTTCTTTTATAGATTCCTTATTCTATATCGCTCCTAGTGGTTCTGTTTCTCTGATCAAATTCTGGCTGATAACAATTGCTAAGACTTCGAAAGAGAAGGCAAGGAACTACTGTTTTTCATTATAAACTATTTAGAATTATTCGGCCATTTTCTTTTTGCCATGAATATGTAGTACTTTGATACATTTTTCAAATTAAAAAGTAATGAAAGAGATCACATAGGGAAAGATAGATTGGACTATTTTTAAAGTTTATAGATACAAAATTAAAAAGCAAAGAATAAAATGGGAGAAACAGCTCCCTCGTGTGGCTGTTGGCAGGAAGCTTCCGTTCCTCTCTGTGGGCCTCTCTAGGTAGAGCTTTGCACACAGAAAATGATGCGTGACAGAAAGACAGAAGTACACTTACAGCCAAGGTGGAAGCCACCATCTTTTCTATGACCTAATCTGAAAGAAATGACATACTAGCGCTTCTGCCATATGCTGTTGGGTCACACAGACCAACTCTGGTACAGTGTGAATTCACAGGACAACACAAGGGTGTGAATTCCAAGGGCAGAGACCACTAGCGACCATCTCAGAGGCACAGAGGGACACTTTATCCAGTTGGTGGTCAATGCAAATAGCATAGCTTTGTAGGAAAGCAATATGTATCAATAATCTTAAAAGTATTTATACTTTTTGATCCAGTAATTTCATTTCTAAGAATCCATGCTAAGGAAGATATAAAACGTGTACCAAAAAATGGGTGTAAAAAGAGATTATTTCCAGTATTTAACATAGTGAAAAGCCAGAAACAATCCAAACATCCAACAATAGGAAAGTGAATTTTGATATTTTTCTAATAGAATTTTGTACAGTCATCAGAAATACCATTTACAAATAATTTTTAATAATGTGAAAAAACTGTTTATAAAATGTTTAGTGTAAAACCTGGACAGAACTACTTAATGATTCTGATATTGTAAAAAAGAAATCCACATATACACATGAATACCTATGCATATAAAGAAAACTGGAACAAACAAAATGTTGACAACATAATTGGAATTACAGGATGGGCAGCCATGTTGTGTGTGGGTCTCTGGCCTGTGGGCCAGCTTGAATGCTCACTCTGAGTTCATGTCCAGGCTTAGAACACATTCAGGCCTACCACAGGCAAGTCTCCCTTCCTCAGCTCTGGTCATCTGCACAAATATCCCAAGCCTAGAAATAAGGCTTGCCTGTCCTTGTGTCTTGGATTATGAAAGTCTAGGAAAAGGCCTTGGGAACTCAGAAGAATGGAAAAACTGCTCTAAATGCTATGTGTATCAGCTTGCAGAGGAATCACTGAAATGGGGACAAGCAATAAAAGGACAACCCAAAGAGTGGCTGCAGCAATGGCATCGTTTTTCAGAGCAAGCTAGAGAATCCTGCCAGCATCCTCAGGCAGGGCCCCTGGGCATAGAGGTTAGGCAAGGGAGCATCCCAGCATGTTGATGCCCTGAGCATCAGAATAATGCAATAGAGGAACTTCCAAAGAATTCCTGTCAGGTTTTGTAAGCTGAACATTTCTAGGCAAATAAGATTTGATTTTGTGAATAAAGCTAGTTTCTTCAACTCAAGTGCAAATTCTCACAGATTGACAGTGACTTGTGATCCAAATGAAGAAAACAATTTTTCAAAGATTCTTATTCTTTGTAGACATGGATTTAGAGACCATCTAATCTAACTCCTTCATTCTACAGATACAGAAAATGAGGCCTAAAGAAGTTAAGAAAATACCATAGAAATGTCACTGCTGAACTGCCGTAAGTAGGATCCAAAAGAAATTGGGTAAATGCTATTGTGAGAAATACACTATTAGGTCCAAAGAATCTAATACAAATTAAAAGTCTAAATGTTATTTCTAAAGAATCCCTGCACATAGCTGAACTTACGTAGTTTCATTTTCTTTCTTTTCTGTTAAAGAAAAGGCAATTGGTCAGGTGCAGTGGCTCACACCTGTAATCTCAGCACTTTGGGAGGCCAAGGTGGGTGGATCACCTGAGTTTGGGAGTTCCCCATCTCTACTAAAAATACAAAAATTAGCCTGATGTGGTGGCGGGTGCCTGTAATCCCAGCTACTCAGGAGGCTGAGACAGGAGAATTGCTTGAACCCAGGAAGCGGAGGTTGCAGCGAGCCAAGATCGCGCTATTGCACTCCAGCTTGGGTGACAAAAGTGAAAATGTCTCAAGAAAAAAAGAGGCAATCACTAACCTATGTTGTTTATTAAACATGACAGCCTGATGAAGTAATTGCCCAACTATAACAGAAAAGCTACAATCTATTTTTTGTTTGTTTTGTTGTTGTTGCTGTTGCTGTTGTTTGAGATGGAGTCTTGCTCTGTTGCTCAGGCTGAAGTGCAATGGCGAGACCTCTGCTCACTGCAACCTCCGCTTCCTGGGTTCAAGTGATTCTCCTGCCTCAGCCTCCTGAGTAGCTGGGACTTCAGGTGCATGCCACCATGCCTGACTAATTTTTTGTATTTTTAGTAGAGATGGGGTTTCACTGTGTTAGCCAGGAAGGTCTTGATCTCCTGACCTTGTGATCTGCCCGCCTTAGCCTCTCGAAGTGCTGAGATTCCAGGCATTAGCCACCGCGCCTGGCTAAAGAGTACAATCTTTTTTTTTTTTTTTTTTTTTCTTCTTCTTCTTCTAGAGATATCTTTATGTAAACCAAGGAATGAGGACTCAAGATTATTTTGATACAGAATGAAAATACATAGGCTTCATTTATCTATTAATTTATACTTCCCATAGAGTTCTTAAAGAATTTCTAGCTTGTTTCTTTAAACATGTTTTATTAGCTTTCTAAATTATGTAAATAAATAAAACTGGAAAAACACAAAACCCAAAATCAATGTAGTAGAACTCCCTTGTTTCCCATACCCGCGTTGCCATAGTTAACAGTCGGTGTGCACCGTTACAGATGTTTTTTTCTATGAATATACAAACATTGGCTTATTTCTTGGACTTCATGTCGCAGTCTACGGAGAATCATGTGAACGAAATAAAAGCAAGACTCTCTGACCACTGCAAACCATAGCATTTCCAGATCTACTGACTCGGAATTCCGGTTTCTAGAGGACTGCACCCACGTGGCTCCGCACCTGCAGCAACTTGGTCTTTCTTCCTTTGCTGAGTTTGGTTAAGAGTAAGGGCTGATTGTTGAGTGGGCTCAGTTCACAGGTGCCTGAAATTCCGCAATGTTCCCTTCCCGCTAATTCCGCCTCTGAGAACCTTAGGAAAAAATGCTAACAGTTGGAGTGAATCGTCCTTAATCGCTCACTCCAATTATCTAGATGGGTCCAGGTTCGATTTCGATTCAGAGATGAGGACCAGGGGGCGGGGCGCTTCCAGGTGCGCCCCTGGCGAGGCCTGCCTCCCCGCGGAGCGGTCACGGGCCTTGTTGGCTGAGCTGGGCTTTTCAAAACCGGGTAATTTCTCCATCCTGTTGCGCCAGGCTTACCTGGCGGGGGGGGGGGGGGGGGGGGGGGGTGCTCAGGATTGTGTCAGCTGCGTCTCATTGTCATCTTGGAATGCAGTTCTCTGCCGAGCCCGCCGGAGCCTGTGGCTAGGACGGCGCGTCGGGTGGTCTCGGGGGCCCCTGCTGGTAAGTGTGGCTGGCGTCAAGGCCGCCTCTTGCTGGCGGAGTCCAGCAGTGTCCGTAGGGGGCTGTCAAAGTCTGGCCTTTTAGGTCTCGCCTGGGTATCCGCCCTGCCCTTGGGCTGCGGCCCGGGTTAGAGCCGAGCGCCCCGGCATCTGCGTTTCTGGCTTCCTGAGAGGGGCGTGGGATCTCGAGGAAACCCCTCTGCATGACCCCACGAGGAGAACCAAGCACCCCGCCCCCCCCACCAGTCCTGGACGGCTTCATAAGCCAGAGGATCCAGTGGCAGTGCCAAGCAGGGCACCACCCTGGTTATGAGCACTTAAGAGGGAGCAAAGGTCAGGCCCCAAGGTGGCCCAGACTTCCCTCCACGCCTCCTCTGTGGGGCCATTCCTCTCCACCCCCCAGCACTGGAGGAGGGGGCCGTGGTCGGTCTAGTTGCGGTCACAAACTGGCCAGAAAAGGCCACTGGAGTCTCGCCAGGCGATGCCCTTAGTCCCCTAGCCTCAGACGGACCACAAGAGGGTTCATCCGCAGCTGGAGGGGCGGAGGCTGGAGCTGAGTTCATTGTGTTTTGGAGTTTGGAGCTACTGGGCTTTCCTGGGGGGGTCTTTCCTGGAGACGCCCTTTCCCCAGCTTAACCCTAGGCTTTGCAGTTGGGTGTGTGGGGGCCAAAGGGTCCCAGGAAGCCGCGGAGAGCTGGGGCCTGGGCTCCAAAAGCTACAATCTTAACCTCAACTTCTGATAACACCATCTCTACTTCTAATCACCAACTTCTATGTGCCACCTGGTTAGCAGAAGCGGGATGCAAATAGGTTTGTTTTTTTTTTTACAAAAACAGTTGTACCTTACACACTCCTCCCCATGAATAGTGAAGGTGTGAGTGAAAAAGACAGCAATTTTATTTTTTTTGAAACAGGGTCTGGCACTGTCACCCAGGGTGGAGTTCCCTGGTGTGATCACAGCTCACTGCAGCCTCCACCATCTGGGCTTAAGTGATCCTCTCACCTCAGCCTCCTGAGTAGCTGGGAGCACAGTTGTGCACTACCATGTCCAGATTTTTTTTTTTTTTTTTTTTTTTTTTTTTAAAGAGATGGGCTCTCACTATATTGCTTGGGCTAGTTCTCAAACTCCTGGCCTCAAGCAATTCTCCCACCTTGACCTCCCAAAGGGCTATGATTACAGGGGTGAGCCACCGCACCCAGCCAGCAATTTTAGAATAAAGGGTGAAGGTGCCAGGATTTTCCTGGCTCTTCATTCTTAGTCTGACCTAGGTGTGAGAATTTGGTCACTGTCTATAACTATATTTGGAGTTGTAATAAGTGGGGAAATATAATTTAAAAAACAAAATCCTTCTCTCAACCCAGGAATCCTCTCCATGAAGGTAGTAGAGAAAGAAAAGTTTTACTACTGAATAAACATTAAATGAGAACACAAGCACTTTGCTAAGAGACCACAAAGATAGAAGAAAATTTCACCTTTTTTTTTCTTTTTTCTTTTTTCTTTTTCTTTTTTTTTTTTGAGACAGAGTTTCGCTCTTGTTACTCAGGCTGGAGTGCAATGGCGGCGATCTCACCGCAACCTCCGCCTCCTGGGTTCAGGCAATTCTCCTGCCTCAGCCTCCCAAGTAGCTGGGACTACAGGTGTGCGCCACCATGCCCAGCTAATTTTTGTATTTTTAGTAGAGATGGGGTTTCACCATGTTGACCAGTATGGTCTCGATCTCTTGACCTCGTGATCCACCCGTCTTCACTGCAACCTCTGTCTCCTGGGTTCAAGCCCTTCTTCTGCCTCAGCCCCATGAATAGCTGGGATTACAGGCACAACCCACCATGCCTGGGTAATTTTTGTAATTTTAGTAGAGATGGGATTTCTTCATGTTGGCCAGGCTGATCTTGAATTCCTGACCTTGTGATCCGCCCACCTCGGCCTCCCAAAGGGCTGGGATTACAGGTGTGAGACACCACACCCGGCAATTTCACCCCTTTATACAGCCAAGCAGGTACAGCCTGTTACATGTTTGTTTTCAAGATAAATAGTCCTCAACTAAGAGAACTTGACAGTACCATTGGTTACACACAGTTCATCCTAACTTTACTTGATAATTGATGTGACCATCTGTGTTATCTAAGATACCAATTTTTCTGAGGTGGGGGCAGTGTGGAAACAGGAGTTACTTTTACAACTTGGTGCAAGGCGCTCACTGAGGTTAGGCTGTTACCATCCCACAGAGACTGGGAGATGGGTATGCTATCTGGTGATGTTTACATTTCAAAGACATGGCTTCCAGGTCCTTGAGAAAGACATTGGTCATAAAGCTGACAAAAGGCTGATTCAATTTTTAACTATCTATGTATTTCAGGCTGGGCACAGTGGTTCATGCCTGTAATCCCAGCACTTTGGGAGGCCAAGGCAGGAGGATCACCTGAGGGCAGGAGTTCCAAGACCAGCCTGGCCAACATGGTAAAACCCCATCTCTACTAAAAATACGAAAAACTAGCCAGGCATGGTGACATGTGCCTGTAATCCCAGCTACTCAGGATGCTGAGGCAGGAGGATCACTTGAATGTGGGAGGTGGAGGTTGCAGTGAGTCGAGATTGCACCACTGCACTCCAGCCTGTGAGACAAGAGCAAAACTCATTATCAAAAAAAAAAAAAAAAGTGTGTGTGTGTGTGTGTGTGTGTGTGTACTTCAAAGAGACTGAGAAAGTACTTACAAGTTTTTTCAGGTAATAACCTGACATAAAGGGAGGGGAGGAAAATTTCTTGCCTCATTTTCAACAGGTGGAATTAAACCTATTATTTTAAATTCATATTTATCCTTACAGTGCCCATCCTAAATTTGGAAGAGGAAGGACGTGAGCCAACTTTTGGCTCAGGCTCTCGTATCAGGGCTTCTATTAGTACATATGGTACCTTTGTTAGATTTTCAAAATGGCAGCCACTTTGGACTGATCAAGTTGCGAAGCTGAATTAATTGCTGCTGTAGTAAGGGAGAGCTATGCCAGTCAGGCCCAGGCTCCCTTAGCAGAACAGACTGCTGATCTTCTATGGGGTTTGGGGAAAGCTGGAAGTCTAAGGACAGGCAGACTGGAGAGGTACCAACAGGATGATGATGTCATCTAGGGTGGGGATTGATTTGGGAGCCCTACTTAGAGAAGTGAAGAAGGAGTTTAATCTGCTTCAGGCAGAAAAATGCCTAGGAGTAGAATGTCCAGGGCAGGTATGTCAGCTCACTGATGCCATCAAGGAACTAGGGTCCTTCTGTTTTCTTGCCCTACCATTACTGGCCTGCGTGTTTTCACCCTCATGGTTGCAAGATAATTGCTGTATCTCCAGGCATTATGCCCTCATTCCAGAAAAAAAGCCTGCCCCAGGGACTTCTATGTACGTTCACAGTCCAGAACTATGTCACATAGCTACAAATGACTGCCATGAAGATCATGGGACTCAGTAATTCACTTTCCAGAGTACAGGAAGGCAAGGGAGGTGATGTTGGAATGGATGTTGAATGAATTCATCTATAGGATATACCGCAACGTCAGGAATAAGTGGGAGACGGTGCAATAGAAATGGGCTGAATTTAATGAGGATAGGTGGCTGCTGGGGTGGCAGGGGTCAGGCAGTTGGAGTGTAAGAGGCCAGGTGGATGTAGCTACCATAGTCGGCAGTAAAGCCAGCGTGTTAATTACAGTGGTCTGACCTGCAGGGATATTTGGTGCTGCCTAATCATGGTAATACTAGAGTTATTAAGAAATAATTTTTAGGCAGCTAGCAAGAGTAAAGATTCTCAGTGGAAATTTTCTTGTAATAACACTAACTCCAGGAATTAGTGTTAGTGCATACCCAGTGTCTGATAATCCCCAGAGAGTCTGTGCCCTTGGATCCTGTGGGGAAGGCTTGGAGGAAAGCAGATTCATGGCAAGAACTTGTGATGTGATGGCAGGGCCCTTTTCCTGGCTCTTCATTCTTAGTCTGACCTAGGTGTGAGAATTTGGTCAGGGGCCATAACTATATTTGTAGTAAGAAGCAACCCCAAACCATTTCTAACAGAAAACTTGGCTTAAAGAGCCAGGCTGGCAAGCTTTGATATGCAAATGAAGGCCATTAAAAACTAGGTCCACCCAACATAGC